CATAGGAAAAGGCAATGGCTAGAGAGAAAGGGGGATGAGTGGGCCCAGAAAGAACAACATTTGTGTCTCAGAAAGATAATAGCACAACTACTGCGAAAGGAACAATACCTCTGGAAAGCCCTTTATTATCTATCAAACACAGAAGAGACGAAAACTGGGCTCTTGGATACTTAATACATTTTTACATTTGTTTAAAAAGTAGTTATATTTTTTATTTTATTTCACATTTTGTGTTACTGGAGTGTGTATTGTAAGGGAGGGGAAAACACACACACTCATTTTTGTATTTGCCCAAATATTTATATCTTTTAGTTTTTTTTGCCAAATGCTAATCATTTTTTAAAGAGATTACAAGGGAAATTACCACAATGGTACACCTAAATGCCTCTGCAACTTAAAATGGCAGCTTTTAAATCAACAATGGAAAAAGAGTGGCATATATTTGAAAACTGTCATACTGCAAAACCTCCTGCCAAAATGCCAATCTGGAATGTATACATATATAATTTAAGGGCCAATCATATGACAAGGACAATAAAACAAAATACTAAGAGGAAGGAAAAACCCCCAAAGGTATTGTCTTTCTTTTTCTTTTTCTTTTTTAAATAACTCCAACACATAGGGTAGTAAAGGCAAAGTCATTTAAATCATTTCCTTAGTAATACAAGTAATATTTAAATAGATTTAATAGTGCTGCTCCAAACCAATGAATTATGGGTTTAAAACCTATTAAAATGTAATGTTTTTTTCCTGAGCTGAGAGGAGAGAGATTTAAATCCACTGAATTTTAATATTTCAGCTTGAGCTGCAGGAGGTAGAGAAAGTCCAAATGAACTATTCCATCAGCACCATTCAAGCATGAACATTTTAATCAGTTTTACTTCCTTGGAGTTCTCTAACACAGTTTACGCTGTCATTCTGAAAGCACTTAACACAGAGAGTGTGAAAAACCACCAAGGCTTGTTATTGCCTTCACAATTGATGGCAAATAATTTTGCAGACTTCCTATCATTAAAATGTCACTGCTAAAAATTGAGGTTCAGCATTTCTTGTGCTAAACTGCATTTTCCTACAACACCACAGCATACCTGTTCTGAAAGATTTTTTAAGGGGTGTGCTTTTTTTAAAAAAAAAAATGCTTTATTTCTATCCTGTTTTATCTCCAAAGAATTAGGTTTAAAAAGTGGGGGGAATCCACAGGAGCCTCATTTCCTATTTTTACAAACTAAACATATTCTTTTCCAACGTTTATTCCTAATAAAACTTTTTGTTTCTTAATGGTAGCTTCTTTGGTGAAATTTTATGATGTTCCTATGTCAGCCTCCTTTATTAAACATAACCACATTCACACAGCATGTGCTGATTATATAGTATAATGGATTTAAAAAGCATTTTAAGATAGTCAGATGACTCAATTTAATAATATAGGAAATGAAAACATCATTTCTAATTAGATCATATTACTGATTTAAAACTACAATTTGTGTGTTGTTCCAACAGTGTGATCTTGCAGAGATTCTAATTTAAAAACACAGTGGCTAGTAGGACACATGACAAGATCAAGCTAAATGCATAACACTCCCTTAGCCCATTTGGAGGGAACTCCAGGAAGTCTTCAAGGAAACCTGAGCTACAAAAAAATTCAAAACAAAACACAAAATATTTATTGTAAACACAAGAATTTCCTGTTTGTTTTTTTTTCCTTATAAATAAAAGACAAATAATATTTAACTTATTTCAATCTATCAACAGTTTTAAACTGAACATGACCTGTGAAAGAAATCATTATAACTGTGTTTCATTCCATTAAGCACAACTAGTTTATTGTCAAGAGAACAAGCAGCCTCTCCAGGTTCCGGGCTCACTTCAGCATTTTGCATTTAAATGGCATGGATCACTGGTTTGGCTCATTTACCAATGAAGGTAGAATAATATTGCAGAGTTAAAAAGGTGCTTCATCAGATTTCATTAAATCTGGGAACATTTGCACTTGTCTGGATGGTGTGCATACATATAAAAAAGATACATATGTGGTGATAAATAAATGAAGGTCTGCAGATGCTTAGATAGGTCTTTTCAGAAGAAAAACTTTCAGCACAGAAAATCATTGCAGACTACAGTCTAAGACTCAAGTAACAATCTAAAATTGACCCCTCATCACTTTTGCTTGCAGGTCAAATCACTTCACAACTCAGCCATGCCCAAGGGTAACAGGCAGGTGCATTTAAAATTCTACAATGTTACACTTCAGAAAGTCCTACACACAAGGCACTACCAGGGCTGAAACAAAGACCAAGGATACAGAACAGCAGCAGCAGAATGTGAGTTTATTTTCAAGCTTTTTCCTTCTCCCTAAAACTGTAGGGTTTGTTTTCCTATTTCTGCAACCTATTTTTCAGAAGTCAGACTATGTGATTTAGACTTCATTTTCTGCTCAGATACAAATAATCTGGAATTGCCACCAGATCCACCAGCTCTACACATACTGCTTTTGACAGCATGCAGCTCTACTGAGTGCGTTCTTCAAATAAGTTTTCAGGTCACAAAATTAAATTAGTTTTATTTTAATAATTAAATCCATATATACACAGTCTATATCAGTTATTCTACTAACGTCCAATAAATCACCTATTCCCTGAGAAAAGGCAACCTTGCCATCCCATTCAAAGCAAAGTATGCAAAATGAAATAGATACAAAAGAGTAATAAAATATACTTTATGTGAAGGGAAGGGAACTTGTTCTGATTTTTATATATTCCCTCATATTTTTAAGCAACATCCAACACAAAACAATGTTTTTTATTTAGATTAATCTCTCCACTGTACAGACAGTAACTAATAAGACTCAAAAAAGAAACAAAATAAGTGTTCTGTTTTTCTAGAGAAGACTGCCAACCAAACATAAGGTTAGGATGGATGCCCATATTTTAGTAGTTCCTACAAACAATGAACACTAAGCCAGAAGTGACCCAGTAAGCTCTCATTCCACCCATTCTCACGCCTTCACCAGCAAACAGTATAGTACCTGACAAATGTAGGTTTTATCCTTAGTGACTTAATACTACCAAGTGACCTAATAATACATCCCAACGTGAACACAGCACATATTTTAAGCAAGCACAGCTTTTATATAATAAAAGCCTAATATGCAAATTGTCCCCTCAGGTGGTCGTTCGACCACTCCTTATGATGTGCGCTGACCAACAAGGGGTGGCAGGGAACATGGCATACATTTGCAACGCAGTGCTGGCAGCAGACAGCAATAGAGGCGCTGCTGGACCCGATGAGAGTGGGACCACGATGGGATGGTGGATAGGTGAGTGGGTGATGCCAGACCAAGACGGGTGCAAGCAGGGGCCTGATCATCCCACAGATGGCTACCCAGTGATGGCGGCAGGGGGCAGGGCTGCCTCCTGGCTCCCAAGTGCTGAGGAAGCCAGGCAAGAGGCCTGGCACTGATCGATCACCCCTCAGGAGGGATGGTGGAGCAGGTGAGGGGGCAAAGCCAGGCCAAGGTGGGGTGCCAGGAGGGGCTGCAGGGTTGGGAGGCTGTGGGCGCAAGCTGGGGCTGGGAGGTTGGGGGTCCCAATCTCTGCAGGCCACCTGGAGGGACCCCAGATTGCAAGAGGATATAGGTCACGCTGAGGGACCCCACCAGTGCATGAATCCATGCCCGGGGCCTCTAGTGTTACATATAATTCTAACAATGCTCTGAAATTTTAGGAAATAACTAATTGTGAAATGTATTCCTCTCTCATCTCTCTCTCCTAAACCCTGAGGTCAGAAAATGTGTGACAAATGAGTCTACATGGCTTGTTCTGATTCAGCCTCTTCTTTCCAAGGGCACTTCTGAAGAAATAAAGGTCACTTTATTCCATGTATTACATCTTCTAATTTACTATCAGTATTTTTGTGTGGTCAGAGGGACAGAAAATAAAGCTCAAAACAGCTCATTAAAAAACAAGCTACAATCACACTATCTGCTCAGCCACCATCGCAGTCATACCAGAGTTCTGATTTCCTTGTTAAAAGACAGAGGCATAATTGAAGCAATATCTTCACTTCAGATTGATTATCAAGCGACCCTTATCCGCATCTTCATTCAGCAATTTGAATTTTAATGAAAGTAAATGCAATAATTAGCATTTCAAAGTGTGTTTGATACACTGGGGGGGGGGGGGGGGGCGGGGAAAGAAAGGACTTTTGTGTATAATTTATACACAAAAGAAAAAATTTGGGAGGGGCAGAAAGAGGCAAGTACAGTTGTAGAGTCTTTATTACAATAAAGAAGGAACTGCTTGTACCAGCCACATAGAAATGTGAATACTGTGCTCTTTCAGCTACAAGTTCTCACCTGATTTCTAAGTTTTTGCATCTTATTTTATCACTTGTTACCTTAATCGGGGATAAACAAAAATACAAGTGGAGTTGGAATGACTGCCCAAATCTATGAATTCCAGCAACATTATTAATGCTACTGTCACCAGGAAAGATTCTATAACTGGGCCACTGATTTTCTAAAAGGTGTTGTTCATCTATCATTTCTACTACAAATGGACACTAGTCCATAAGAACCACTCATCACAGAATAGAGTAGCAGGGCGATGCAAAATTTTTATTTCATTAAAAATGATATTAAGATACTCTGTATTTGAGGAAAGATAAAAGAAATCAGGTCATTCTAATAATACGGATATATGAATCTTTTTCTGGCATAGGTTAGTTACAGAAGCTGACTGCAAAGGAAAGAAATATTATGAAAACTATCCAGTCTCTTTAGGGGAGAGTTTTCAGGAATATGTGAACTTGAATTGGTGAGAATATCATCCTAAGTTTCTAAGGTAGCCACCAAAATTCACATGAGATTAAAGGTAAAGTGCTTAATTTCCTTTTGTGGTCCGCTATTGCCTTTTGCCCTTTTGATGGAATGGAATTTAAAAGAGAATGAGAGAACTGATGACAAACACCAAGATCAGAGCTAAAATGGAAAGGCCACGTACCCCAATGATGGCGTTCAGTTCTGCCATGGTCACCTGCTTGGCCCGTTCCACAGCCTGCACCACTTGTTGCTGGTGCTATAAATGAAGATCAGAAACAGAATACAATTATTTGCTTTCTAACAGATCAAGAATAGCTTTCCCTAGTATATCTCTAACTTCAATTACATGCAAAACAGGATTTAGGGGTCTCCACATTTCAAAGAAACGCCCAGGAAATAGATGACTAAACATCTATAGTACATTTGAGTCTAGACTGCTGAGAAGCAACTGGGCATCCACAATTGTGCCCCCATGAAGGATGCTCCCTTACAACTGGTAAAAGCAGCTTAAATTATACTTTCATCTCAATGGTACACTTTGACTCAACCTCTTCCCACCAGTTCTAACAAACAAAATACAGCAACCCATTTCATCTGCTTTTTTTGGTACTCTCTTCTCTACCTATCTACCTACATAAAAAATATATATATATATTCAAAATATTTCCTAGAAACACTTATTTTTTAAATTTTCTCCTGATTTTGTTAAACACTAGAATAGTGGTTCTCAACCTTTCTAATGCCATGACCCTTTAATACAGTTCCTCGTGTTGTGGTGAACCCCAACCATAAAATTATCTTTGTTGCTACTTCATAACTGTAATTTTACTACTGTTATGAATCGTAATGTAAATATCTGTGTTTCCTGATGGTCTTAGGCAACCCTGCTAGCAGTTCTCAACCTGTGGGTCTCAATGGTCTTAGGCAACTCTACTAGCAGTTGAGAACTGCTGCTGTAGAGCCTAGAGAGAGAGGACTAAAATGGATAGTATACTGTCATCTCTCTATCCAAGATTCAGTTCTACAAAGAATGATCTTGATTTACTATTATCTTACTCATATTAGTAAACTGTATGATGTTAGAAAAATTAAATAGCACAGAAGTCTCCACATGGAGGCCCTCACATCTGGACATACCCAAGTGCCCTAAATACAAATACCTTTCCCACCTAAATACACAACATTCTAGGATCAGGCTAAAATAGGTGTCTTCTGCAGTCCTTTTAACTCGGTTTAGTGAATAAAGAGCCAAAGGGACTATGCTGTGTCCCTTGGAACAGTCTTGTTTTGGTTGATCCCAATTGAGAAAAGTAACTAACTTTTTCCACTGCTTTGAAGTGAATATGAAGCTCAGATATCATACTAAGTAATACATACAAAGAGCTCAGCCATCGTGAAACATGAAATTCCCCTTGAGCTACCTGGTACTATACATTCCAAAACCCTCAAATAAATAATTACTGAGGTTAACTAAGGTGACCACCATTTCCACCGCCCAGCTGTATAGGGGTAGTGGAGGAGGTGATGTGGGAGAGGAAACTGCTTTAAATCAGTTATCTACATGTGGTGTTTTCACCCCTGGTTTCCTAATAGTAATATGTATTTTGTGCCTATGGGAGAAAATGTCAAATAATAATAGATCACTGCATTTGAAGCTTTAAATAAACTCTAAACATTAAATGTACCTTTATTTTTTATTGTAAGACTTTTAAAACAAGGGCTTAAGAAGCAATCCCAATGTCTTTATAGATATCCCTGCCCACTCTCTTACTTTTTAATAATGTATCTGCCAAAGTGAAATAATTCATTTCTCTCTGTCTCTGAATAAAAGTAAAAATCCTGAAAGTTGCCCAGCTGGCGTGGCTCAGTGGTGGAGCATAGACCTATGAACAAAGAGGCCACAGTTTGATTCCTAATCAGTGCGTATGGCTGGGTTGTGGGCTGGATCCCCAGTGTGAATGTACAGGAGACAGCCAATCAATGATTCTTTTTCATCACCGCTGTTTCTATCTCTCTTTCTTTCCTTCTCCCTTCCTCTCTGACATCAATGAAAATACATTTAGAAAAAAGAAACTAAAAATTTATGGAAACACTAGAAAGAGGGGCATAATCAATAAAATGACCAGTTATAACAGTAATTTTCCCTTAAAGCCACCCTGACTATGTATGCTTACTGAGTACCTACTTACTATGTGCCCAAGTACAGAGCTCACAATTAGATTAAGATATTTTGGTTATCTGAGTAATGAAAATGGAAGTACTTGGAAAGCAGAGAAAAATACATCATGTAGAACGATTCTAGGATTTAATACCCAAAGTAAGTATACAGTCAGAGATTTTTATGAACTTTTCCACATTTTCGATAATGGAATTCTTGAAATTCAACAATGGCCATTCTAAACTTCCAAAAACCTGAAAGCCCAGGACCCACATGTACACATATCCAACACACATATCATTCATTCTACTCATGTATCCATTCATTCAACAGGCTTTTAGGCATGTCTTACTATCTGTCATTTCTGTATGTTACTAAAATATCATCTATTTTATATTAAGCATTCAAGGAACAGTTCCAAAAGATAAAAATGCAGAAAATAAATCTAGTTAGGGCCTTTCTACCATAAAGATCATTCAACTCTTGCTTCTTAAACTGTATTCCAACTGCCAAGATAGGCAAAGCTGCCTAGGCTGTGGGGATAGCTTTCTGCCTCAGTATTAAAATCAAATGTATTGATTGAGAAAGCCAGAAACACACCAGTGAGCCATAACACTGACATCTGATGTTCCTTTAGAAACGTATTAAAAAGCTAAAATGACAATGGAAGTCAAGACTCAGCTTCTTCCTTGTCTCTCATAGCAATGGCCACATAATGCCACATCTGAACTTTACTTCTAGTTAGAATTTTACTTCCCTATTTCTGTGAATCATCTGCTGTTTAAGGAAAGAGCCTTTGAACAGAAGTTCCCTAAGGCAAAAAATGCCTCCTCCCCTGTGTGCTCTGAAAGGGCCAGAAAACCCCCACATTGCTCACTCAGCAACACACTACCATTACACCACAGACTAAAGAAGTGTGCACAAGGTGTGAAAATTAAAACAAGAGGAGGGGCAAATGAGAAGAAATAACATAATAGCAGCCCATAATACTCTCATAAACTGACCCCAAAGCAGCATTTTTTTCTATGTTCAAATTTTAACAAATAACCTCTCTGAATCAGAAAATACAGCAAGTTTTTCACATCTTCTTAGAAACAGAATGGCTTTCCCATTATTTCTGCCATCTCTTCCCCTTTTCCTTCCCTTCCCCATCTGTTCCTCTCCTCCCACCCCACCCCACCCCACATTTCATTTCCTCTCCCACTTCCTGCCTATCCCCTCTGCCACCTCACCACAAGTGGTGAAGCCACTCTAGATCCAGTAAATCTGCATTAAGCAATAATCCTTATGGCCTCTTTTATTGCTCAAGCTGCTCACTCAGATATAAGCTACTAGTTTAAATTTTATACCAGCACCAACAAATAAAATACAACTAAGAATGTATTAATAAGTCAAAGGTAAGATGGGAGTTCCTCTAACCAGAATGTGGATATGTGTGTGTGTGTTAGAAAGAGAGAGAGAGAGAGGCCAAATTATTCTTTAAAATACTCTGATTTATAATTTTTAAAGAATCCTTATTTAAAAAACAAAAAAACCTACATTGTGGTTATGGTTATACAACTCTAAATTTACTGAAAATAATTTAACTCTACACTTAAAAGAGTAAATGTTATGATGTGTAAATTATATCTCAATAAAATACTGTGATTTAAGGAATACAAGCATCTTTGGGAAACACGGTCATTAAATGAAATTTTAAATATTAAATCAACTACTTACTTTGATCATAAAATTATCTTTTGCATTTGTTAAGAACAATTATTGAAAATATAAATAACATAAGCTCCTAAATCCAACAAAGCCTGCTAAGAAACAGACCTTAACAAATCACAATCGACAGTGTGTACAATGGATGTTCAATCCTCTCAGGAGATTATATGACAGTATCTGCCATGCAAAACTTTTCAAGCACGGCAATAGATATGGCACTTCTGATAAAAAGAGTAATTTAAAAAATACCACTCTGCAACAACTCAGAAATTATAAATACCCCCATTTATTGATAGATATAGTAAAGGGAAAGTAAGGGCAATGATGTAAAATGAAGGAGGGTTCTTATAATGAACAATGTTCCTTACACATGGAGATCCAAAAGTGAGCAACAGATAATGGCCCCACTCCTCAAAGAGCTCGCAGACATACAGAAATGCAGGATATAAAATACTAAGGAAGGTTATAAAAAGAAATGAGAAAGCATTCTTATTCATCCATTAAATATTTATTTAGCACCTACTATGTACCAGGCACTATAGTAGAAATTGAGATAAAAGTAACGAACAAAACATTCAGTGAATTAATAATACTCAAGAGGTTTTATAATTACAATTAGAGGATCATTTTCATGAAGAAAATTACAGGATGCTACATAATCACTTACTAGGGAAATATCTAATTGAATCTCAAGCTTGGGGGAAATTCCCTAGGGAAGCTGACCCAACAACTGAGACCTAAAGGATTTTCAAGAGTCTTGTGAAGAGCAAGAGAAAAGAATTTCTGGGGAAGGGAATAGTTTGGCTAAGGTCCCTGAAGGAGAAAGGAGCTTGTCTGTCAAGGAAGAGAAAAAATATGTGTCTGTAAGAGAATGTAGGGTACAGGAAAAGTTGAGAGAGACAGGCAGGTTGGATTTTGAGGGCCTTCTTGGGAATAGCAAGACACAATCCCAAACTCTTTCAAGTGGAAGAACAAAGGCAATTGTATCAAATCATTGGAGTATGGCATACACATTCTCTACAGAAGCACATACTAGTGGGAAATGGAATCCGCAAGGCAAGAGGGGGGCAAACAGAGAAAAGCTGAAATGTACAAAGAGGTTGGGCCTGAACCAGTAAAACATTTTTTATTAAAAATGTTTTAAGTGCTGAAACTGGTTTGGTTCAGTGGATAGAGCCTCAGCCTGCGGACTGAAAGGTCCTAGGTTCGATTCCAGTCAAGGGCATGTACATTGGTTGCGGGCACATCCCCAGTAGGGGGTGTGCAAGAGGCAGCTGGTCGATGTTTTTCACTCATCAATGTTTCTAGCTCTCTATCTCTCTCCCTTCCTCTATGTAAAAAATCAAAATCAATATAAATCAATATATATATTTTAAGCAGCTGAGTGC